AAGCCCCTGGAACTTTCTCATACCTCGGGAGAAAGGAAAAAAGAAAACTTCTCTCCTCTTGATGTGGAATTTGGAGATATGCAAATAAAAAGCACCCCCCCCCCACCACTATCTGACTGGTTTAACTCCACTATACTGTGAGCAAGGACAAACAGGAAGCTTGCCTGTTCTTGGGTGTCAGCGCAATCTGTGCTCACAGGAGAAGGCAGAAACAGAAAACAGAGGACCAAAAAGGGGAAAAACAGCGGGGCACTGGACACAGCCCAAGCAAGAAGGTCCACGAGAGTCTTACCTCCAATTAAACACCCAAAAAAGCTGGAAGTAGAGCTGTGGCTAAGTGGTGGGGTGTTAGCCTGGGCTCAGAGACAGAGTCTAGGCCCTGGGTTCAAGCCCCAAGACTGGCGGCAAGAGGGGGCGGCCCTGAAAAAGAAGCTGTGGGCAGAACTGGAAGCAAAGTGACCACCACAACCTCTACACGCCAGGAAGGGCTGCGAGGCTCAAGGACGCGTTCAAAAGCAACAGCTAGGATCATTTCAGTCTTCCAAGTGACCTGAACATGGCAGGCCACAACAGTCTCGCCTGGGTGAGCCATGCGCTGACTGTGCCAGCCCAGGGGGGCAGAGCCAAGGGGGAAAACTCGGAGGCCGGACTAACGCCTGTAGAAAACCCTAGAAGCCCCACAAGAAGGCCGAATGTGGTAGTGCAGGCCTGAAATCTAAGCACCCAGGAGGGCGAGGTAGGCTGATGATGAGTTTAAGGCCAGCTGAAGTCCACAGCAAGACCCTGCTAAAAACAAAATGATGTCATGGCAAAGGTGATCTAAAACAATGAATCACCTGAGGTCAACCAAGCCTGTCCCCCCTCCCAGCCACCCTACCAGGCAGCAACCACACTCTGAAGAGCCACCGGGATCAACAGGCTCAGGTTACACTTTTGTCTTCTCCATTGTTCTCTTAAGACTTTTCAAGAAGACTCCTGCCAAAACCTTAAGGACCCGCTTAGCCCCATACCTTCAATTAAACACCACCCTTACCAGAATAACCCAAACCCTAAATGCACACTCCCTCAGGCCCACCTCAGTGAGCACCGTGACCTCCACGCCAGCCGCCAGCCGCCAGCCGCCAGCCGCCAGCCGCCTCCATCCCTCCCCAGGAGCAGCTCACTGAAAGTCACTACAAATTCCTCCTGAAACACCCCACAGGCCACGGAACAAGAACCTTCCGGGTCACGGCTGTGCATTTGTACTTGAGAAGCCCCACATTTCATTGATGTGGCAGGTATGCAGCCATATTATTTTTAAAGACTTCAGAAACAAATACTGTTTTTGAAAACAGCCTTGGGCTGAGAATATGGCTTGGTGGTAGAGTGCTTGCCTAGCAGTCATGAGACCCTGGGTTCGATTCCTCAGTACCACACACACACACACACACACCACACACACACCATACCACACACACATCACACACACACCACACATCACACACACACACCACACACACACCATACCACACACACATCACACACACACACACACACACATCACACACACACCATACCACACACACATCACACACACACACCACACACACACACCACACACACACACCCATCACACACACACATCACACACATCACACATCACACACACACATACCACACATCACACACACACCACACATCACACACACCACACACACACCACACACACATCACACACACACCACACACACATCACACACACCACACACACACACACCACACACACATCACACACACCACACAC